TTACTTAAAAGTGCCCAGGACAGTGCCGTCCGATGTCCTCGATAAGTCAAGTCCTCAATTTCCTCATCGATTGCATTAATAATGACTTGGGCCGGTGTTTGACCCCGTCCATGTCTAGTCAGTGAACTTTGACACACATCTAGTACAAACCTTTCAAGTTTACCCCCTCGGGGTAAACAGAAAGGTCAGTTACCTTGCCGATGCAATTGTTACTCGGAAGCTACGAAGTGGTGTTTAAAATTTGAATGAGTTGGAAAGATGCATCATGTAGGTTGTCTTTAACTAGCTTCTATAGAAGTTACTATAGGGAGTAACATAACATAACATAACATCACGCCTTTTATTCCCGAAGGGGTAGGCAGAGGTGCACATTATACCACTGTACAATGTAACACCCACTTTTCACTATTTATGTTATCGAGTCCCATGTAATAGGGGGTGAGCCTATTGCCACATACCGGGCACGTTTCCAGACTCCGTGCTACTACTGAGATTTTTAAAAACCCAGTCATACTTTGCCCGGCCCGGGAATCGAATCTGAGACCTCTTGACCAGCAGTCGCACTTGCGCCCACTCGGCCAACGAGGCAGTCGGCCATATAGGGAGTAATATTTACAATACAAAGAGGTTGAGAAACATAATGTCTATTAGAAATGATTGAAGTACCAAACTAGACCGCCTCGTTGGCATAGTAGTCGCAAGTGCAACGACGGGCAAGGGGTTCGATTCCCGGGTCGGGCAAAGTATTACTGGGTTTTTTCAAAAAACTCAGTAGTAGCACGGAGTCTGTAAATGTGCCCGGTATATGGCAATAGGTATATAAATAGTGAAAAGTGAGTGTTACATTGTACAGTAGCATTAAGTGCCGTAATGTGCACCTCTGCCTACCCCTTCGGGGATAAAACGCGTGAAGTTATGTTATGTTATGCACCAAAATGTCTTGTCTTTTTATGTGTGCGTGTGTAATGGTTACCACGTAACCAGACTTAAGAAAATGACAGATGTCCTTCGTGTCAATGTGTGTATGTTCTGAGTGTAACTCTATAGCAGCCAGGTGCCTCAGTCGTTGTTTCAAGAGACCGTGTCCGTCTTTTTTAATGACCTTGGTTGAGTTGTGGATGACTTGTGGCTGATAATTATGACTTGCTCTTGGATAGGTTTTTTTCGGTTACTGATGCTCAGGGTTGCCATCCGTACTTCATAATAAAGTATTGTATGTACTCGTCGAGTACCGTATTTATAGACACAATTAAAGAACAATAGGTTGCGGTCACCGGTGACCGCTTTGTGTTTGACAGTTTAAGGTAATTGTACTCTATACTTTATAAGAATAATAAAGTACACGAAATTACTTTATTTTTGCAAAATTCGATATCGATATTTATCGACTTATGTTGAATCGATTTCGCCACTTCTAGTAAAGATGCAATTGTTTAGTATTTCAATGCAATTGTTTAGTAAAGATATTAATTTAATACAAACTGCAAAAAGCAATAAAAAGTATATTTTTAAATATAATACTAAATAAGAATAAATTGTACTTTCTTTCTGTACTGTGTACTTTTTTTTCTTACCTATAATCGTCAATGTACTTTAAATGCCAAAATAAAAGGTGGCAACCCTACTGATGCTTGATGATGAGTAAGGGAATTGAAAGGGGAGAATGGTAGAATGATAGAAGAAGATTCAGTAGATAATTTTGAAGTAGGTTTTCACTCTGTTTTTAGACTACTAAATACTAAATGTTGGGACATTCATTTCGCGAATACCGAGTTTGGTTCCTTGGTTCACACATACATGATTTTCTATGCCTCCTATAATTCGATTTGTAGTTACGGATAGATTAACAGTGTAGTACATTTCCTACTGATCACATAACATAACATAATATCACGCCTTTTATCCTCGAAGTGCATAGGAGAAACACCCACTTTTCACTATTTATGTTATGAGTCCCATGTAATAGGGGGTGAGCCTATTGCCATATACCGGTCACATTTCCAGACTCCGTGGTACTACTGAGATTTTTTTTAAAACCCAGTAATACTTTACCCGACCCGGGAATCGAACTCGAGACCTCTTGCCCGGTAGTCGCACATGCGACGACTCGGCCAACGAGGCAGTCCTACCGATCACAAATTCCTAAAATCAATACCCTTCCTACAGTCGTATAAAAGTGCAACACAGTGTTACCTCTGCTTAATAGATACAATCATCAATATTCTTTGAATCATGTTCCATGGCTCCTGACCTTTGGCACAATTTACCATAAAGTTCAGCTAGCACACATTATATTCCGGTGTAATTATAGTTCACGTTGGTCATTACTAAACAAAATACAAAATGAGGTTCACCAAAAGTAGACCAGTCAAGGACCTTAAACAAAGACAAATGTATCATTCCAAAAGTCATTTGTCCATCCATGAATTCTTTATTTACTCGACATAGAGGTCAATTTCCATTGAACACAAATTTAGAGGGCAGCAAAGTCAAGTTTGTGTGGCGTACGCATCGAATCTTGCGGTCAACGTTGGTTTCCGCAAACGCGTTGCTATGGCAACAGCCCAATAACAAACCTGTCAAGTAACACACGATTTTCCAACAAGCCGGTTTAACGCAAGTAATGACACACTATTTCAACTCGTACACCCTGAAAATTATGTTTTCGTGACCTCAAAAAGCCTTCATGTGGCTTTAAGTATTTATACCTATGTACTTAGCAAATGCTGTCAGATCTTTGAGAACAAAAATGGATTTCGGATTTGGTGACTTTTTGTACCCAAACATTGGGGGTTTACGGAATTATTTTCAAATCGATCCTTGTGGGTATGTAAGCTTGTTTTGTTGTGCTCTGTTGGATGGTTTCTAGGTTAGCTTATTCTAGATTCAGCTGTATGGTGTTTGACGATGTGTTTACGTCAAGTGTGTACTCTCGAAAATAGTTTCGTGTAGTTTGATTGAAGTTTAATCAATCGCAACTAGTACACTAGATACTTTTAATCCAGTAGTTTTAGATTAAAGAAACTTAATAAGCTTATAGAAAAACGTGATCAATAGCCGACGCTATAGACAACGAAAGTTGAGACAATAGTTTTAAAGGCCTATATAGACTTTGTAGTCTTTACCTTAAAAAAAGTAATCTAAATTAGTCTTTGGTAGTTTGAAGTTAGATTGTATGCTTTTTGGTTGTCATCGAATAATCATTTCGTAAAATTGTTCATATATGTAAATCATAAATAATAATAAATCAAAATCTTCATTCCGCTTGAAAAGTTATTTGAAATTCTTACGCAATATGTCGGTCAGATTAAAAGTGTAGATTACGTTTGTGTGTATTCAAAAACAAACACTGCGAAGATGTAAATAAAATTCATTTTTTGAAAATGAAAGTAAATCTCTTGTCCCGTTGGCGACACACAGCGAATATGCGCGTATTTGCCAGAAAACTGTTATATAGGATTCCTAGCGATATGAAAAGGTAATTTTCTCTTAGAAGATAATTTAAAGTTTTTAGAGTGCTGGAGAGATTTTCTCGATGAAGCCTTTTCATACTTTGCACGACTCAGAAATTTAACCCGAGACCCCTAACTCAACAATCATTCTTGCGCAACTTCACCTATGAGGTAGAAATACTTACGACATTAGAAGTAAACAAAGCTAATTTATGGCTTACTTTATAAACAATACATGTTTTCATAAAATATAAAAGCGTAGCTTTAATTTATTACAAACGTGATTACCACTCGGCGTCTTAATTGCTGAAAATCAGGTCGACTTTGTTTTGTAAAGGCTTCAAACATTACAGGTTTAGCTTGGGATAATATTACGAAATAGACTAGGCTTATCGATATGTTAAAAGATTAGCGTATTGGTAACAATAATTGTCTTTTTATGGAATTGTACTATAATATACTATGTTTTACACGGATAAAGCCGCAAATAAAAGCTAGTATTATATTCTAACTTTCGTGGGACGTACAAAATTAATTAATTTAGCCGAAAAACATTTCGGGTTACTCGACTTGGACGAGGAATTTGATGAGTTTTAAACCATGCTAGATGCTCATATTCATGAGCGCCATTTCGCGACCTGAATATGAGCCTTTAACATGACTTGAAACTAATCGAGTTCCTCGTCAAATAATTACATGAGTAAGTCGAAAAATATAATAAATAATTAAGTTAGTACTATAATAAAAACGAACACATTTTGGTAATTAAACTTTTAGTAAAATAGCGTCATATTTGGCCGTTCGGGAATCGAGTTGAAAATCTCGACACTACAGCCGATATTAGTAACATTTGTCAGAAATCAATTGAGGCTACACGGCTGTTAGACAGCTAAATAAAGTAGAAACTTAATGAAAATTGCTAACATGCAACAAACAGTAACATGTAATTAATTTTATTTGCGTCTCTGTCTGTTTGTGAGTCTTATGCAGGTCATTGCACCGCACAAGGACTGTTATTGCTTGCCTGGAAATGCATTAAGATTTTAATGGTTTGACTATTCTAGGAAATGTATATTTTAAAAGAAAATACTAATAAATGTTTATTCTGTTACGTTATTTGGATAAAATACGGTAAAACGCCGTTGGTAGTTTACGTATACTATACCAAATAATATACCTATACATTTTTAATTGAAATGAATAGTATTCATATATTTTAATCTGACAACACTTGTAGAAGTGTTTTCAAAATTTTATTTTACGCGTATGGTTCGTATGTACCTGACTGTACATTAGCATTTATCTTAAAAGATTGCAAGTCATGTGTCGGTCTTAACGTCAATTGAAGACCAGCTCAATGTCACAATCATTTAATCTTCAACATCAATCATTTAAACTTCTACTCTCAGGTTTATTTTTATCCTGGCGACAAATATCTTCATTTATTTTTATGATATTATCACGGATATTTGCACAGTATTTTACTTTGGATACAGAATAATTAAAAAATTCGACCGTCAACTATTTAAAATTTTATTTATTCCACAGTCCCGCCTCAGGGTTCCATCAAATGGCCAGGATGATGGACCGTATGATGGTGGAAAGCTTTCAGCCATTTGGGTTCGCGCGAATGACAGCAAGTCAGAGCGGAGACAAGAAAGGTGATTCGGAAAAACCCAGAGATGGACTCAGAACAGAACGGAGTGAGACGAGGAGAGAACGAGCTAAGACTCAAACATCCACACACATCGCTTCGGGGACACGACATCTGCCCACACAAGGTGAGCACGTGATAGAAGAAGATGCAATAATTAAATTTTATTTAAATAGAAGGAAGGTACGGTAAGGTAAGGAAGGTAGGTATGAAGGCAAAGATGTACCCCTTGGTACCTAGCTACCTATCTTTTCCTCGTGAAGGGACGGGTGTTAACTAATAAACATAATAATTTGGCTCTAATAGGTTATTATTCTAATTAATGTTTAATGTTAGCTTTTAGAAATATATTCCACAACTTGTTTCAGTTGTCAAACCGTCAAACGTGGTAAATATAAGCGAAAAACCTCCTGACCAACAAAAAAATACAGATCCAACTACAGAAAAGTGGGTAGGGACGTTGCGACGACGAGACCCCGTGCTACCTTCAATAGGCAGAAAGGGTTCCTCCTTAGGCAGTGGAAGAATAATTAGCAGATCTGTTGACAGAATACCCAAGACAGTAAGATCTCGACCACTTATTCCTATAAAACCAAGGCTGAGAAAAACAGATGTTCCAAATGAAGGGGCTGATGTTACCATTTTTGAGAAGGATGAGAAAGTCTTCGATGCGACAGGATACGAACTTCATCTAGTGGAGACTTTGGAAAGAGATATTTTACAGAGGAACCCTGCTGTTCGTTGGAAGGATGTCATAGGACTGGATGACGCAAAGTCTGTATTGCAAGAGGCGGTGGTCTTACCTCTGGTCATGCCTGATTACTTTAAGGTAAGTTTATAAAAATATCTATAAAACGATTTAATGCATCCTATAATCATTAAAACCACATTTATTTATCAGATTTAAACGTTAAAACTATTACTATTGTACATTTTTTGGGAGTAATTACAAAGATGGCCATATTTGAGACCAAAATAACTTAACCAGAACGGTCGAACAATGGGTATAATAAAGTAATTGTTCAATTACGGTCATTTTACAATTTGCTCACGCCGAAACATTCTACGTCACTGAGGAGAATTAGGACGTTGTAAGGACTTTACTCAAAGAAAATAAATCACCGTCTCAATCTTGTAGCCCAGTTTAAATTGATGATTTGCGTGACGCGGCTAACGGTCAATGCTCATTTAATTTTGTTTGCCCGTTCTTTTGAAGTTGTGTGTTTCCACTTCTTGTTGGGTGTCGAAGTATATTTTGGATGCCCGTAGCAGACAGTGTTGCTGTATTATTTTATTTAGATAGTTGTCAAATCATCATTTAAATTTAAAATATTTAAAATAAAAAAATTAAATAAATACATTTTCTAGTTCTATATAGTTAGTTTATTTCTATTTGTACATAAAATTGCGTACGTTTTACCTGTTACGTAATTAGCCATTCGTTAAATACTGCGGTTCGCCGGTAGGTACTGGTGTTTTGCGTGACTCGACGCGTCCAGTGTCGCGCATAATATCAATAATAATGGTCTGTGGTCTACGCTAGTTAGGCCTTGAACCACACAAAACGTGGTTAGCGCACGCCATATCCAGGCCTCGTGATCTAGGCTAGAATTTAGATGGCCTGAATACTTAGTGATGTTTAAAATTTGGATTACTTAATTATGAAAGTTTTGGGAGAGTATACTGTGAGACTTTGTGTATTGTTTTTTTTATAGCATAAGCTGGTAAATGAACAGACGCATCACCTGATGGTAAGCAATCGGCGCCACTCATGGACACTCGAAACACTAAGGCGTTACAAGTGCGTTGCCTTTTGGGAATTGGTAATTTGAGGATTGTGGAGGATTCGGGGATTCGGGGATTCGGGGATTCGGGAGACGGGGACTAGGGAGGGGGGTAATTGGGCCTCCGGTAACTTCACTCACACGACGAATCACAACGCAAGCGTTGTTTCACGTCGGTTTTCTGTGAGGCCCTGGTATCACTCCGGTCGAGCCGGCCCATTCGTGCTGAAGCATGATTCTCCCACACTTATTGTTTCATAATGATCATTGTGTTTATTTCCCCATTCAATGACTTCAAAGAAAAAAATGTCTCACTTCCTATGGTAATGATTCCCTAAATTACACCTAAATAATTTGCTCTTTAATAGTTCTTGCATGATTTACCTATTGTAGGGCATCCGCCGACCTTGGAAGGGTGTCCTTCTGACAGGTCCACCGGGAACTGGTAAGACCTTGCTAGCCAGAGCCGTAGCCACCGAGTGCCGAACTACTTTCTTCAACGTATCGTCTGCCACCCTGACTTCGAAGTACAGAGGAGACTCCGAGAAACTTGTTCGCCTTTTATTTGATATGGTGAGTGAATAATGAAAAGCCTTAATGTAGAGTATCTATAAAATGGTTCTAGTAGTACTTAAATAAGGAATTAAGTTGGAAAACATTCCTTCTACTTATTAGGAGTTAAATTCGACATTTTTCTGGCATAGAGCGCCTAAGTAGCAGATTGCCCATGGAATCATTTAGCATCAGAGGTGTTACAAGTGTGCTACCGAGGGAATCAGACTTTTTAGGGATTGAGGCTAGGGGATGAGGTTGGAGGATTTGAGTTGGGTTTCTTCAGACCCATTTACATTAATTATGGAAGTCATATAAAATGTTTTCTCAGACCTAATAAACATTTATTACTTTACAGGCAGCATTCTACGCCCCAAGCACAATATTCCTAGACGAAGTGGATTCACTTTGTGCTGTCCGTGGCGCTGACTCCGAACACGAAGCTTCAAGGAGGTTCAAGGCTGAACTGCTCATACAAATGGACGGACTAGCTGCTGCTTTGTAAGTCTGCATATATTTAAACATTGAAAATTACGTATTGACCACCAAGGTGCATCATGTTCCCTCTTACTGACTAAAACCCACCCCGTTCCTATTCCTGCGCTTGGCCCCGGAAACCCATTAGGTTCTCCACGATTCCGTATCGGCATCAGCCCTATTGGGCCCGATCCGTGGTAGTCTGATGGCTCTTTAAAGCGCACGTGGAACGCGATGCGCCATACGCTCGGGATGTTCACGAGTGTTAGCATTATATCTTAGTTACAGACACTTTATAGATGTTTTAAAAAAACTTTGTAATAGTTTTCAGTAAAGATCTGTTATTTTGTTACAGCCATCGAGATAAAATCATAATGGTGTTAGCAGCGACTAATCATCCGTGGGATATCGATGAAGCTTTCAGAAGACGATTCGAGAAGAGAATCTACGTCGGTCTACCTGATGGTAGGGGATTAGCGTAATAGTTGAGAATACAATTGTTTAAAAAAGAAATACAATAAAGTATAATACTAACGAATGTGTCTGCTTTTATATTTTAGAGGCAACGAGAATCCGGCTGCTGAAACTTTGTCTAAAAGATGTTGCGCTAAATGAGAGTGTGAAGCTAAAAGAAATAGCCAGCCAGCTTGAAGGATACAGTGGCTCCGATATTAGTAATCTGTGCAGGTGAGGATTAAGAGAAATATCTACATAAGGTTAAAATAAACATTGTAATATGGATGGATATGTCCAAAATATGCCAGTTACCAAGAAACGGAAAATTATCCTAAAAATTTTTGGTGACCTGACTGTGGTGTCCAATTTTTTTATATATCAATAAACGATCAGACAGTGATCTGTCTGATCGTTTATTGATATATAGAAAATTACATCAGGTAAATCATATCAGGTGATCCTGATGGTAGCAGGTGCCCAAGCAATGGACACCCGCAACAGAGATGTTCCAAAGTGTTACCGGCCTTTTAAGGATTAGCAATTTGAGGATTGCTGGGGTTTCGAGGATTGGGGAGATTAGGGAGACTGGGGAAGGGAGTGATTGGGCCTCCGGTAACCTCACTAACATAACGAAACACAACGTAAATGTTGTTTCACGTCAGTTTAATTAAGATAATGAACAACTTGAATTTGATTAGGTTTATGATGTAAGCATATTTGACCGGACTAAAGTATTAAAAAAAATATTTTTATGCGATTTTGTGACATGATTCTTTAGTATAATAGATATATAGGTTTTAAGTTGTTTAAACATTTTACGAATGCTTATTTCCAGGGATGCAGCAATGATGACGATGCGGCGTAAAATAGCTGGCAAGACTCCTGACGAAATACGACAGCTCAAGAGATCTGAACTTGACGCTCCTGTATCAAGTGAAGATTTGTCTATTGCTATTGATAAAACCAGGTAATTTATACTATTATGGATGTAAGTAAGCTAAAAGATGTAACCAGCAAGAATTGAATATTATTAATTTTACAATATTCATGATTCTGTACAAATAGCGATATTCCGTTGTCTGCCTCTAAGAGCTTACAAGCTTTTTGAATCAGACTTGATTTGAAAAGTAGATTCACAGTCATTACCGTTGTATCTGTATTCGACATATATCTTTTGCATGTCATTGACGTGCTCGATCGTCACCTCCTAATTGTATCTAATCATTGTAGACATCGTCTACCCAGTTATTATGTTTACCCAGGATATTAAACTGTCAAACACCAAGCGGTCACCGGTGACCGCAACCTATTCATTAATTGTGTCTATAAATACGGTACTCGACGAGTTAATGCGTTCGAGTTCTAAATTATGCGGTTGTCTTTTCCAGGCGAACAGTGTCAGATTCAGATGTAAGCCGGTACAACACGTGGATGGCCAAGCACGGGTGTTCCTAGCGCCGCGCCTGGGCTCTCAGAGCCCTCTTACAGAAGCTGCGTAACGACTAAACGTAACCATCGAACTAGTGGCTTATGCTGTCTCTGCTAGGCTGACGTATTAAAAAGAATTGTCTTTTTAATTCGCAGACATATACTTACCTTTCTTATGTACCGACGCTGCTCGCTGAGCATTATCATTTTAGTATCTCGGCGTTTTTAATCTGATTTCTCGTTCACATTGTCAGCTGTAGATTTTTTATTTATACTTCTATTAATGTTTACCTAATTCGTACTCCTAAGGTTTTTAGAGTTTTATTTTTGATTATTCATACACTTCAATATTTTTTATATGAACGAAAAAATATAGTAACGTGTAGAACACATTCTCGAGAAATCTTGGTAACCTCTCAACTAAGCGAAATTATTTAGTGTTAAGAGCGAGTATACCGACAGTTTACATGATTTTGAAATTAAAGAGTGTATTTTTAAAGTTTAATTTGCTCTAAAGGGTACAATGGTAGTCTGCGTATACAAAAAAAGCGTAAAAAGTCTTGAAATAGACGTCAGCCTAGCTTAGACGCATCATCGTTCTGTAGATGCGGTATTTGGACTGAATCCAGTGACTATGAAATTATTAAGTGTAAATTGTATACTGTTTGAAGAGTGATCGAAACTCACATCGAAACTGCAAAGCTTTTGTGGTTTGTCAGAGTGGCCATCGAATATGACCTTCATTTTTATAGGTAGGAGGTCTACTCGGAGTATGTAATAAATGGAGAACAACATGCCAACGATTTCCACAATATCTCACCTAAAATCTTATTGTTGAGGTGTGCAAGTGGAAATATTTCTTGATGCCCTGATTATCTATTATATTTCTCTACTGTTTGTATAGAATACACAAAGTTATGCATTTTTTTACCGCTTGTTTGTGGAAATGGATATTATCAAATGTCAATTATCCATTTGTTATATACTCCGATTACGCTGTTTAATGCGTTGAGACAATTTTTGGATGGGTGAATGTACACATCCTTTGACCAACCTTTATTATTTGGTGACTCAAGAGAATAGTGCTGGGTAGTTACATTGACCCAAAAAAGTAAAGTTTCCATAATTAATCATTATAAAAAGAATTTTGATACCAATGTCTACTTAAGATGCACTGAACGAATATAAAAATGATTGCAGAAATTATATTATTGATTGATGATAGCGGATTTAAGATTTAGTTTCTTTATTTTGTTTTGATTTGACAATTATGATACTGTGTGAACTCTGTAGTTTCTTTTTCAATACTATTTACACAAATAAACTCTGAATTAGACATTTAGTTTTAATTTATTAATAAAATTTTATCATAGTGCTGTTTATATTATCGATATTGTTTTCGGTATCGATACTAATATTATTTCGCTTACTAGTCTTTGACAACTGTAAGATAAGCATTATATTTTTCAGTTATAATCTTATATTATTTTCTGGCTTTTAGTGGCTAAATATTTCAAAGAATTGATATTATGTGGGTATTTTTTTGTAATAAAAGATAAGTAATGGTCAAAATCTGTTTATTGAGGAATGGCATAAAATAGTGTAGTTGATAATTTGTCTGTCTGTCTGCGTAAATATTTCAGTGTAAAATGTAGCTGTACCGTGCCGTTGGATAACGTGTAGATATGAATTTTAATAAAGCTCTTATACGAAGTTTGATACAGTATAGTTTGATTTCACTCATTTATTGATATGTCTCATAAATTATTAAGGCCACAAATTGGTCCATTAAATTAGTAACAAAATAAAAAATAACTAACAAGAAAAATATAATTTCCAACTACAACATGATTAATAAAATAAATAATTTGGTTTTACATTCAACAGCCTGAGTCTAAAACAATGGCAAAATGTTTAATATTCATTATTTAAAATATAATAAAAATAATATTAGTTTCTTTCAGTAATATGAACAAAGTGACTAACGAGAGATGTAGCAACTAGCTGACTGGGTAATCGATAATCGATTAGCATTCGTTGCATTTTGTAATCGACTAATTAATTAATCAGGTAGTTAAACATCTCGACTAAAAATTATATCACTACACATGCGATTTTACTAAATATTACAAAGATGGAACATTCCTTATTTAATTAGAAAGAGTGAATACTTAATAGTTCGCTAGTTTAGAAGGCACTATAATAATATTTACATGAGAAACGATTGCTTCACAAACATGCGATATATTTTAAAAGAAAACGTATCTTTGGCTAAAAATAGTATTACAACAATAATTGTTTACACGCGGTCACAGCGTGGATCGACGTGACAGTTTTAATTTAGAACAACATTTCTCAACCAGCGATGTTATTTTACCTTGAACTATATTTTATTCTGAACTATCGATAAATGTTGCGGCCGTCTCTATTCGTAGCTGGCAGTGAGAGCGTGTAAAACAATATTTTAAACAAACAAAAATATATCATTTCGCTTAATCTAAATTTAAATATTAATTGTGATTTGTATTATAATGTGAATACTATCACAATAATTATAATGTCATACTATACCGCCATTTTGTCACATGACGTCATAATTCATTAGTCGATGTCTTTTGATCCGAATTTGTACTAAAAGACTCCGAAAATGATTTTCGGACATGCGGTTCATTCACCTGTACGATAACACTTATGTATTTGAAGACAAATATTTCGATTATTTTCAATATCAATTCCTAAAAAGTATGTAACGTAACGTAAAACAGAGTTCCATAGAAACTGAACTTCATTCGATAAGAGTTTTCATTCGATATCGTTATATATCATATCAGTATCAACGTGCTAGACGCATGACCTGATACATATTGTAATGAAAGTTAAAAAATATAAAAAGAAGAGAGAATGCAGTTATTTTTTAATTAAAAGAATATTTGGTAGAGTTCACCATAGTTATACAAATATATGTGTGAATAAATATAATGTTTCTTTCATCAGAGTCCCCAGCGGTCACCGGTGACCGCTCTCCACCCATTATAGAAGACCATATTTCCGATGTCTAAACATCTGAAATATCAACTACTTTTGTATGAACAAGTGTTGAGAGTTTTTCAGAATCGTGAATTAAAAAGTTAAAATCGGTTTGGTTTCAATGGATCTCCGGTTTTACGATATCTTTATCTTCAAATACTCGCTATATCGTGTCCATTTCATACTGTCATATAATTTTTATCACTTACTCTACTTACAATTCTGAAAAATCTAGCAGCAAATTCAGAAAGACTACAAAATTCTAATGTCTATGTAATCTAAAATTTCGTTTGTACGTAAAATGATATTTGCGAATTTATTTTAATAGCTGAAAATAGATGTCAGTCGCGCTGAAGAAAAAGTCCTCTCCAACTTTGTTAGATCTCAAATAGTTATTAAGGCACTTTGGTAAATTCTTTACCTATTTTCATTAAATTATCTGATGCAAAAAATTGTCTACAATAATTGATGAGACAGTTTAATTATTTGAAATTACGTTGAAAGTTTATGCGGTGGATGTCCATCTCTAATGGAATATCGTTCTTATCTTTACTATTAAACAATTCATTTTACCTTCACTTAATTTATTATTATTAAACACTTTTAGTGTGCCAATTTCACCAATCACAATACCCACATGATACTGGTCATAAGTCATTTTGATCTTACAATTTTGAACAAGCTAATTTCAAAAGCTAAAGTAAATTGGGAACCATTTCGTCGTAGATATAGTTTCGTGTCGGTCTATGGAAAATAATTACTAACTTATGTACCATTGAGGAATAGGGAAGGCACTATTTGTAGAGGAAAATCGTCATTATTGCAGTGCACTACAGTTTATAGTTACGCGACTGACATATACCTAGTTTCAACATCACCAGCATAGCCGCACACCTTGCTAGGTGTTATCTTTGGCTACTTATACTAATTAGTCTTGTGGTCACTCGGGTGGACCTCCATTGGTCTCCGTGGCTGGTTTATGATCATCTTCTTCGTTCTCCAGGATATCAGTGAAGCAGAACGGCGTGAAGGCGTACCCTTGACCGTCGTAGAACTTGCTCATGAATTCCACCCTGGAATAAATGATGTCGCGGTTTTAAGATTGGGTTAAAAAAGAAAATAATATATTTTTTCACATGTTTCACTTATTTTACAATGCAGGATTGATGGATCAGAAAAAAAATATATTCAAAATATTTTTCTGCAAAGGCAGTCGGTCGTATTTCTAATCTATAATTTAATGAATTTTGTATTCTAAGACAGAAATAACATTGTTATGTTATTATGTTATGTTTAACATCACGCCATATTTGCCCGGCAGTCGCACTTGCGACCACTCTGCCAACGAGGCAGTCAGTCAGTCAGTCAGTCAGTCAGTAGACAGAAATACAAAAAAGTCAAACGTAAAAAGAAAGACAAATCGTCGTAGCATAATCGCAACTTAAGTACTTACCAATGTAACCGCAGTGTATGCAGGAAGGCAGACAGGCCCTCCATGAGCACCAGGATGGCCAGTGTGAAGAAGGCCCACACGGCGAATATGATGTAAAGTTTTATGGAGGTCACACCAGGCGGACCCATGCCCATTATCAGGACACGCTGCCAAAGTACAGCTGAGAGCTCTGATAAAGAAAATGCAGATGATATAGGTAATTGTTTAGGTTTAAAAGTTTACTGATTGCGATTAAAAATAGAATCGAATTTCAATGTTGAAAACCTATTCATATTGGTTTGATTTTTGGTATGGGATAGGGTGGGCAAAGTGGCAAACGAACAAACAAATTACCTAAATGAGCAATCGAATCGAGGGCACTCATATACCCCCGAAATACCAGAGAAACTACAAATAGTATGGGTATAAAACTACTAGAATAGAATAACTTGGGAAGAAGAAGAAATATAGATGAACTTACGTGCATGAGCTAGCGAGAGTGCCCACAGTCGCAAGTAGGATGCGGTATGGGACACAGCGCCCAGCACATACTCAATGGTATGGATACATTGAGTGATCAGCTCCTCAGCTATTCCACCATCGTGTCCCTCCTTCTCTGCGACGTCTTCACCTGTTTCAACACCTTGCTGGTATTGCTGAAGCGAGAAATAAAAAGAATTTAGTACCAGGAGGAATGGTGTTGTGACATTAATTTCATCAAAAATTATAATATCATCAGTTCGTTTGATTGCATTTTTATCTTGTATCAAATTAATTTTTGAGGTTCTTGACTAATACATTAATTATTTAGATGGTACTTTGTTCACCAATGTTGAATTTTTGTTTTACACGGTGGTTTCTTTATGATATTTCATAATTAATTTAACCACGACAGAGACAAAAGTCAAGAGTTGATATTCAGTCCCTTACTTTGGTATTTCTCAAATAAATCCATTCAATGATTTACTGGACTCTTTTACGTTTTATTTCTATGTAATTATAATCCTTACCTTTCGTTTCTTAGCCAAAAACGCTTTGTAAACTGGCTTTCCGAAGAGCATGACGGGTATACACAGGAAGGCAATCGCTAAGAACGTCCTTTGCACCTCATTTTGTCCAGCGTACATCATTGCACGGCACGGTGGCTTGTCTTCAGAACTCTTCATAAGCATCATATTGATGAAGATGATTAGGACTGAAGGGGCACACGATGTGCCTAGTGCTGGATCTGAAAAATAATATTAGATTTTTTATTATAAAATCCTTATTTTTATAGTAGTACAAGTTAAAGATCACCTGAGTTTCGTTTTAATTCTTAATATCGTGTGTAGATAGCGAATAAGTTCAATTTGTGTAAGATAAGTAATACAAAAACTTATATTCTACAATAGATAGTTCTAGTATTTACCTTCCGCAACAGCCGAATACATGATCCACTTCATAAACATCAGCAAACAAAGATACCAAAACAAAAGCAGTAGGAACAGTATCTGTGGTATGTACTGTAAGAATATCATCTCGGGCTTCCTGAAGAAGCTGTGGAGCAAAAACATTATTAATTATATCGTCATCACCAATCACTGGAAACGTACTAAACATTCTAGTTTCTATGAATACAGTAATTACTTGAAGTTTACCACACTCATAGTTACACCGAACGCCATATGGATCACACCGAATATTATGGACAGTTTCATCTTGAATGAGTTTAGGAATATTATGTTGTTGGAGGCGAACTGGAATAGAAAAGACACATATTAGGTAGGATACGGAAATACAGTTATTAACTTTTCATAAACTTATCAATATGAAAGAAATTTCTCACCTGCCACGCTGGGTCCAAACCAAATGGATAAGGAGTCTGTGTATAAGCTGTCTTCGGATCTAACTCTAACATAGTATGATTGCGGAGAACTCCATCTTCATACACATTCCGCCAACTAGACCCAAATATGTTCAGAGATTTCGAAAACATGTCATTGTATATCAAGCCGGTGTATATGGAGAATATTCCCATTAGTAGTATAATATATCGTCCTCCGAAGAAAATGTTCCATATTTCGTTGTCTGTCTTCGTTTTTAAGAATTTCTTCTCGTAAATGACTAGGATGGCTGCGAAGGCTGTCATGATAATCCCGTGGCCGACGTCCCCGAACATCACCGCGAACAGGAACGGGAATGTTATGATTGTGTACAAAGCTGAAAATGTAGAACTGACTTATTTAGCATCGTCATCATCATCAATACTCCGTAACACTTCTGGAGTATTTACCATCTCTGCATAAGAGGGGTAGATTAAAATGATTACCTGGATTAACTTCTCTGTAGCTGGCGATTCCATAGGAATCAATGAGGTTCTGGAAACCTCGTGTGAACTTATTCGTCCTATTGAATGTCGGTGGCGTCTCATTGGTTGGTACGTAGTGCAAGATCGATGGGATTGGACTTCCACTTGCTTTCTGTAACATAAAACATCCATTTTAAAATCAGATAATGGGAACTGTCTTATACAATAGGTGTTTTAAGTTTCTTCAGTATGTGATGGTTGAAAAGCGACTGTAGTGATGTATGGTGGTACTGCTAGACTAGCAGTATAGGATACGAGTTGATAACAATAGTTGCTAATGAAGTTTTTCAAAAATCAATACGAACCACTCCATTCTCCAACGCCTTCTGCACAGCAGTGAGGTCTCTCCTCGGTACCCAACACTCAGCAATAAGGCACTTCTTAACGATGTCCATGCTGAACATGTTCAAGGTGTGGTAGATGGCCTTCTCCTTACGAACAGCTACCATCCAGGTGCTGATGTCACGAGCAATGTTTGTAAGGACCAGTCGACGATGGTTCTCAGTTTGCTCCAAGACCTGTAAGTTAGAATGAAAATTTTGATTAGGGTTTTTCGATACATGTGACAGATATTTTATTTTTGATTCCCCTCCCCTTTTTACTTCACTTCTATCATCATCATCCTCTATCGTGTTATGCATGCATTCTTATTAACATGAAATCATGTAATTCTCAAGTATTTTAAGTTTCTATAGAAATGTTTATTACATTATTTTTTTGAAGAGCTACGATCATATTTTGATCCATTATATTTGAAGAAGAATCACGGTCGTGTTATATCCGAAGTGTTTACACCACTGTTAAACAGCTAAATTCCTTCACAATTATAGTTACCATTTCCAAATCCTTGATCCGGGTCCCAACTCCAGCTAACATGTCCAGTTGGTCCTTGTATGTTGCGGGGCATGGGTACAGAGTGGCCTTGAAGCCATGGCAGACCTTTTTTACACGAAGCTTGATCTGCTCCCCGTGGAAGAAGACCACGAACACTGTCTTCTGAAGCGCGTGACCCTGGAAACAAAGGGGTAGATTTTAGACTGCGTATTAGGTACATGCATGTCATTTAGCATTGAAAGTAACCATTAGTAAAAGATGAATAAGGAACAGTTCAAGATAAATCTTTAAAAGCCTCCATTAAACTATAGAACAAAACGCTCGCCTTACATTTCATTTACATATGTTTTGCTCAACGTTTTTATGAATTTTGGTGAATGATATCTTCTATCTTCTTCTTCTCTCGATCCAATAAATCAAAAATTAAAATGTGATTTATCTCTAAAATTTTGCTTTTTCACAGACCAATCTATCTCAATAGTTCTACACGGTACAAATGAGCTGCAATAAAGCAAATATTAACAGAATATATGTTTCCTAAATTATTGCTGCCAGTATAAAGATGTTATTTACATTTTTACAATCATAGCTTCCTGTAGAAATGTTTGGATTTTTATAGAGAAATGTTAAACGACTGTGATATAATTTTATTTGTAACGGAAGCTTTAATGTCTTTTCATTTATATTTGTTTAAATGAATGTTAATGATGTGTAAAACAATAATATAATCACCATCATGTCAATCCGTCATTTATACTTTGAGATTATACTTCATTATTTCTTTTCAATGTGTATACAGTAGAATATGTAATTTTTTGTCATTGGATTTTCGATTTTACTGCCTCGTTGGCCGAGTGGTCGCAAGTGTGATTGCCGGGCAAGGGGTCTCGGGTTCGATTCCCGGGTCGGGCAAAGTATTACTGGGTTTTTAAAAATCTCAGTAGTAGCACGGAGTCTGGAAATGTGCCCGGTATATGGCAATAGGCTTACCCACTATTACATGGGACTCATAACATAAATAGTGAAAAGTGGGTGTTACATTGTACAGTGGTATTAAGTGCCGAAATGTGCACCTCTGACTACCCCTTTGGGGATAAAAAGGCGTGATGTTATGTTGCATTTTCGATTTTACACCTAAACGATAGAGTTGAACAACTGCTGCCGACTGCACTTACGGAGAGAATATATCTAGCTATTGACAAAATACAAACTGCTGGATCAATAGCATATTTATCTATAACTCTATTAAGTGCTGACCTAAAACCGTCAAACCAACAAGAGCTGGTAAACATTCCATTTTATTTAAAGGCCCTTTTCCCATATTAACTATCCCTTTGAGTTGCGTGAGTTTTAACTATAATTTTCACCCATTTTAGGGATAGTTAAATTAGTTAGTTCCCTTGGGACAATTGTACCCATGTTGTAGGTTGAAGGGTTTGTTATTGTTCCGTGGTAGGTAAACTAGATCAAGGCTGTACGATGCGTAGTTTTAATGCCGTAATGGACAGAGGGTTAGTTGGTTGATTATTTATTTATATTGACTGAATATTTGTACGTATATAAAATAGGCATTTGGTTGGCATATATTTCTGTTAGTCCACTGTTATCTAGACTATAGACCTCATTTAATTAAGAGAATTTACCATAATAGTGAGGTAGATATCGTACATTTAAAGGTTCAGTTTTACCAAACAGCACTTTGGACTGATGTTTATCAAATATAACATAACATAACATCACGCCTTTTATCCCCGGAGGGGTCAGTAGAGGCGCACATTACGGCACTTAATGCGACTATACAATGCAACACCCACTTTTCACTATTTATGTTATGAGTCCCATGTAATAGTTTATCAAATATTTCGTCCTTTAGTAGTTTTGATATCGAAAGAGCAAAGGTGCTGAGGGAACGTTATCATGGTTCTGTCGTCAGATCATAGTCTGCTGTAATAGAATAGAAAATACATAGCCTAACATTTGACATTTCTTGACATAAACTTTGTAACATTATATTTTGGACTAAGTACCCACGTTGACATTGCATCATATTTAATTATTTCTTTTTGTATGGCTTATATTTGATCGTAGCATTTTAGCATTTTTTTTTAAATTATTTTAAAATTTTGACTATATACCTAGTTATCTATTTGGCGACATTCAAATCACATTATAATTTAAACTGTCAAACACCAAGCGGTCACCGGTGACCGAAACCTATTGTTCTTTAATTGTGTCTATAAATACGGTACTCGACGAGAGCCTGCCGAAAGGTAAAATGTACTGGGTCAATTAACTTCATTCCAACTTATATGTATACCTACATTATTAGCAAATAAATGATTTCTTTCTTTCTTTCTTTCTTTCTTTCCTATCACCTCAATTTTATGAAAACAAATATACCACCTACCACGGTATTTTCCAATGTATCTAAAAGAGTGAACTATAAACTGCCCATCTGTTTTACAATCGTTGAAACAAAAGTCCAACAAAGAGATAGCTATCAAAACATTTCCTGTGGACTATAAATCATTCAGTTTTCACGTCTAGACGAAGGTCATCGCCCTGTTTCGTGAGCTATGAAGATTTATTCTTAACTGACACCCGCCATATTGCGCTTTTTCCTAGAAATTTTAATGATAATTGTTGAGCTAATGATTAGAATTTTGATTTGTGGATGCGCATATTTTGGACTTTCTTGTTGGATGAAGTAATTATTATTTGGCTTTTTTAATTTTGGTGTCGCGGTGGCCCGGAGGTTTAAGACGCTCATTTCTCATGTATGAGAGTGCGGGTTCGGAACCTACCAACGGCAAGTACCAATGTGACTTTTTCCGAGTTAAATGTACTTTCTAAGATTATTCAGACACCACTGACAAACGGTGAAGGAAAACATCGTGAGGAAACCTAGGCTTATAATTTCTAATTATGAGTTTGAAATCATCAACCCGCATTGAGCAAGCGTGGTGATTGAGTGAGAAGAGGCTCTGCCCAGCAGTGGGAATTTATAGACTGTTGTGATGTCGATTTTTTAACCTTTTTTGGGTCAACACTAACCTTTTAGAAAGAATCATTTTAATAAGAGATTCTTACCCTGTTTCATAAAAATAAATTTATTTAAAGTGCATTTACCCCCAGCCCTTGTTTGAGCTGCTATAGTAGCGATGTTTTTTTATGAAAAGCTTTGTAATGGGTAACAGCGTCCACAAAAATCAATATAAAGGCGGGTTAATGACCGACCACTTGTTAACTCACATAAAGTACATTAGCGTTTCACTGCAGGCTTGCAGTCAGATTTCCGAGACGTTTTTTAATTAAAGATGAAATTTGATTATCATATCCATTCAATGTAAATATCTTTTCGCGTGTGTTTACCAAAATCTCTCTAAGTTTTAACGGACCCATAAAAAATAAACTACTAAAAATTTAAGGACGTTTTGGTTTTTATCAACCTATAAGTTACATCTAACAGCAATAAGTTAGAGGTTAGTTTAAGTGCTAAGTCACGGTAAGTAACTCTTAATTAAGAGATGGTTTAGGGGTGGTTTGTGAAAACGGCCGTCAGACAAATAATTAGAATCTTTTGTATCAATATTATCTGAAAGACTGCACGGTTGGTGCGGTGGCTGGGCAACCGGCTGCCGTGGAACGTGTCGCGGGTTCGATTCCCGCACGGAACAACACGTTGTGTGATCCACAAATTGTTGTTTTGGGTCTGGGTGTCGTGTGTATGTGAACTTGTATGTTTGTAAACGCACCCACGACACAGGAGATAATCCTAGTGTGGGGCAAAGTTTTTAAAAAAAAAAAGAAAAAAAAAGAAAAGGTTGATAAAAACTACAAAATGATAATAAATATTATGTAAGTACTTATTGTTTGAAACAGTAAGTACTGATGTACCTATGTAAATAAAATGATATCTATATTACATCTAAAAATATAAAGTCCATGTGAGGCAGACTGGCCTCGATCGATACTGGATTTCATTAGGTTATAAAAAGTATCTAGATTTTTAAAGGTTAAAGGCCCTCTACGTAAAAGCAATGACGCAATATTAGATAAAATATTGTATTCTTGCATTTTTTAATGGTATAAGCCGGTAAACGAGTAGACGGATCACCTGATTGTAACCAATCAGTGTCGCTCATAGACACCCAAACATCATAGGCGTAACAAGTTCGTTACCAGTCTTTTGGAAATTAGGAATTTGAGGATTGTTGGAGATACTAGGATTGGAAAGATTGGGGAAGGGACGACACTCACATGACGAAACACAACGCAAGCCTTGGTCCACGTAGGTTTTCTCTGACACCGTGGTATCACTCCGGTCGAGTGCTTAAACGAGATTAAAATGTGGGAGAGCCATGGCTCTCCCACATTTTAATAATAACCAAGGTTAGTTCTTAAATTTAAAACAGATATATTGTTATATAATAAGTTCGCATTTCTTAACTTCTGAAGACCTTACTTCTTTTTGTTTAAAATAGCCAAGGTACAATAGTTTACCGTTTATTGTTCTGAGTAAAGTTCGTGAACTATTGAACTGAAATAGTGTTAAATACAAAAGCGTGGAAAATCTATCAGATGTTTCCTATAAACCTCGTATATGAGGGTCGTTGACATTTGATTATAAAAATATTCAAAATATTCAAAGTCATATATCAATAGTTAGTAGTAATTTAAAAAGACTGTCCCGTTGGCCGAGTGGTCGCAATTGCGACTGCCGGGCAAGGGGTCTCGGGTTTTATTCCCGGGTCGGGCTAAGTATTACTGGGTTTTTAAAAAAGTCTCAGTAGTAGCACGGAATCTGGAACTGTGCCCGGTATATGGCAATAGGCTCACCCCCTATTACATGAGACTCATAACATAAATAGTGAACAGTGGGTGTTACATTGTACAGTGGTATAATGCGCACCTCTGCCTACCCCTTCAAGGATAAAAGGCGTGATGTTATGTTATGTTATTCAATGTTTTCTTCTAACTAATTTTGGTAGTAATTTACCTAGCTTTTAGGTAGGCAGATTAACTCACAGCAGAATGGAGTTTTGATGTTCCTAAAGTAATTATCTGATAAGTACATAATTCCCGTACAGAACAAATCTTTGTGTGATTCACAAATTGGAGAAAATACTAGTGCGGTGCAACGTTAATAAAAGAAATAGTATGCAGGGACTCCGAATTTTTGTGCGTCCCAGGGTCTCAACGTAGTCTACGACGGCCCAGACTATCACATCACTCTTTAAAATCCAATACGAAATTTCGATTAGAGAAAGCTCGCACCAATAACAAAAACCAATCACATAAAAACACAGTTAAAAATTCCCAAATATGATTTTAAAAACTGTGATTAAGTTTCCCTTAATGATGGCTTTCCATATTCTAATACATAGTATAGTACATTACATAGGCATGCTATTTACTGTGGACATAATTCCGTCTAACATGTACATTGCGTGCTCTGTTCACATGAGGCCACTGAACATTTTATGACGAAGCTTTCATACATGTTATTAAATGAATAATTCTGATTTAGATAGGTCAACGGCATTGACTAGAGGTATTTAAAACATGTATGTTATTTAGCTGTGTCTTTTGACTTTTTTCTAATTATACCTAACGATAATACCAGTGCCTTTAACCAAACGCCACTTTAGCGCTTGTCTACAGAGAGAGTAGAAATCAAAATGTATGGGGATGACACTGAGAAGTGTCAAAATTTACGTCAATTCCATATAATTTGGTTTTCTACATGTAGACAAGCGCTAAGTGGCATTTGGTTACAGGTGCTGGGCCTTTAACCAAACGCCACTTTAGCGCTTGTCTACAGAGAGAGTAGAAATAAAAATGTATGGGGATAACATTGACAAGTGTCAAAATTTACGTCAATTCCATATAATTTGGTTTTCTATTCTATAAGAAGACAAGCGCTAAATGTGCATTTGGCTACAGCTGCTGGTTACTCAAGCAAAAAGTCATGAGATTTATTCCCAAATTAACTGAGATACATGTCTTAAGGCATGTTTGAAGAATTATGCTCTGTACATAACTAAAACGTCATTACGTGAGTAGATAGCGTGAGCATAGCTCTATTTTCGTATCAAGTATTTCAAAGAATCTCTTAGAACTTAATAAGCAAATCAACCTCAGAATTTAACCCAAGGCATTTGTTTATAGGTTGCATTTGCTACTACTAAAACAACAGGACCGTCTAACCTAAAACTTTTAATTCTACTTCTCACATCATTGTCTCATAATCATCAACGAACAACTACATTACAGGAACCCTAAATGATACGTCATAGGCTACACAATATGATAGAAACGAAGACAAAACCGGCAAAATTTATAGAGGAGCCGTTAACAAAATATATTGCCTGCCAATATCGATGGAATAAAATAGCAAATTATCTATTTCTGTCCAACAGGCGACCGCAGCGATACAATGCGTCAAACTTTATGGCACTGAATGGGAACTAAATATTGTATTGGATGGGAAAGGAACAATTGAAGGAAAGATGGATGAATTGAGTTATTGTGAAATATAAGGAAGTGAAAGGAGTGCGTAATGTGATGAATTAAGACTACAGACAGAAAGATTAACTTCCTGACTTTTTTATTTATTTTATAAGCCGGTAAACATGCAGACTGGTCACATGCATGATGGTAAGCAATCGTCGTCTATGGACAACTAGAACACCAGAGGTGTTACAAGTGCGTTACCCGCCTTTTAAGGATTAGGTATTTGAAGTAAATGATATGAAGGCAGAAGAAGAAATAAATGGGAAATTGCTTTTGGATGAAGTAAACCATTTATGTATCTATGCATCATAGCAAAGTGATGACGCGGTAAATACACGAAACGAAACAAATACAACACTGAAAAAACTATCCCTATATTTTAATAATCAAGGTTTATTTAGAAGACATTTAAAATAGCTCCACTGTATTGTCTCACCCAATAGGCACTGCAATAGGCTCACCCCCTATTACATGGGACTCATAACATAAATAGTGAAAAGTGGGTGTTACATTGTACAGTGGTATAATATGCACCTCTGCCTACCCCTTCGGGGATAAAAGGCGTGATGTTATGTTATGTATTGTATAATGAGGCAGGGTTCTTCTGACGTAAGGAAAAGCTGTAGTCAAACATCAGCTATCAAGTAATAGGTACCTTCCATTATTATATCAAAAAGGGTTACAAATATACCCTAGCTACTGCTAAATATACATCTCTGCGTGGGCTTGTCCCATAGTTCAAGGGCTCACCATGAACTTGCTTTGAACTCCCAACCTTTTCATCGTCAAACCTACAAATCAGATCAATACTGTTTAGGAATAATGTTTTCAAAGTAATGGTTTGTTGATAGAAATATACGTATATTTTAGTTGGGAAATATAGGAAAATCAGAAATATACGTATATATTGAATAATACCATTTATAGTATGACTTGATATGCTCTAGACTTATCCTTACGTTGGACATAATGTAAAGTCAAATAGAATTATAATAGAGAAACCAATACATAGAATAAAACAAAGTCGCTATGCTGCGTCTGTTTGTTCCTATGTATGCTTAGATCTTTAAAACTACGCAACGGATTTTGATGTGTTTTTTTAATAGATAGGGTGATTCTTAAGGAAGATTTATATGTGTAATACATGCATATTACACCCTTACGAAGCCGGGGCGGGTCGCTAGTATTAATATAATTTCAATGAGAAAATAACTTATTTGAGAAATTTTGAAACTTACTCCAGATAGTGATTTGAATTTTATCTTATATATTAATTTAATTTTTGATCCTTTTGCGTATGTATATAATACTAACCACTTCCTCGCGGTTTCTCCAGCTCTGCTAGGCGCCTATTGATCGTAGTGTTACATTTGCATTTCTCAAATCAGACCTATAGTTTCTGATATTAGCGCGTTCTAACAAGCAAAGAAAGTCTTCAGTTTTATGTAATAGTATAAGATTGTATCTCCCCTAAATAATCTATCTAGTCTAGTCTAAATATACGTAAATTTTAATTTAGTGTGTTACAACTAACCACAGTTTCCGACAACTGGATAACTTTATAGTTTCCGTTCAAAGAGTTTGGTTGCGGAGTAAAATTATAGGCGTATAAACAAAACCATTGTTACCACGACGAAATTTAGAATCAAGAAAATGTACGATGTGGATATATGTAGTACAGCAAAAAATCTAAAAAGTTTTTTCAAAAATGAACCTTACCGTAATAGGATCCTTCAAAGGCTCATCAATTTGCGCCTGTTTGAAGAAGATATTTCCATGCGATATTCTCCAGAGCATCTTTTCGAAGGCCGGTATCCTTGCCGTGGTCACCACTCCAGCTATGAAGCCAAGATGTCCTAACACCGCATCATTATTGTATATTTGTACAGACGCAGATATCTTCCGTTGTGCACTATGATCTTGGAAGAAGGTTTGCATCTTCTCTATCAAGGTCCTCAGTTCTATTAGAGCTAAATAGTCACTCTTCAAGTTCCTTGCGTTTCTTGTTATCTCCTGTATCTCTGATTCTATGAAGTCGATTCTTTCCTGGAAAACAAAAAGTTTGGAATGAGTTTTGCAGTAAAGGTAAGGACGTCGAACGTAGAACAGCCGTGCAGCAGACTGGCTAGAAAAATGTGATGTTTTTTTTTTATTTTAGTAATTTTATTGTTTAATTTTTTTTTTATCGTTCCCTCTGTATTCTCATCATGGTTAAGAGGTGAACTTTATTTTATGATGTTCTGTTCATAGCGTGTTTCTATTCATTTTACCGTTCAAACCAAAGATGAAACGATAAAATATAAACTATACATTCATTTACTGTTTTCACGGTAAGCTGTAAAACAAAATAGTTCTTAGGAATACGTATAATAGTGATAACTGCTAGTGCATTTATATGCAACATTAAATATTAGCCGAACAAAATGCATTTCATGGAACTCGCAACAGAATCGTTAAATCGAGGTATTAATGACCACTTTATGTTATTGCATACATTGCAATGTATTCATTATGATTGTTATCGAAGTAGTATTTTGTGTGAATTTTCTCTTTATTAATGTTACACTGTAATGCTGTATTCCTTAGGTTTATTCTCAAAACGCTATTTATTATTTACAGCTTGTGACCGATCACTTAAACATTACTATACATTTGTTAAGTTTGGTTTTTCAATTTGATACCATTCTTGACATCATTAAACTAGACATATTCTCTTTACATAATTGTAATACTAAAATATGTATCTATGATATAGAAGTAATTAAAGAACGCTTCATTTTCAGCTAAACGTCAAATTTCAATTTCTAAGCCAATAGTTAATTGAGAAAAACCAAATAAAGAGTTGATGAAGAAAGAACTCAAAAAATCGAACATTGTCTGTATTTATATCACAACTTGGTTATTAAATCTTAGCTATTCTAGTACTGAGGCTATACTCAATATCCCACAGTAGAACAGTTATCACTGGTATTACATCTCATCCGACATATACTATAAACACGCGCGCATACACACACACCACACACACACACACACACACCACACACACACACACCCACATACATTCATACACTTCCATAATTAGTATTATATGTATAAAAAATACTGTAAATTTATCGTTTTCATTTAACTTTTTTTTTTTTAATTTTCTTTTCATTTTATTTCTCATTTGTATTATAATGTTTTGCTGACTGAAAGAGACTGGGCCTCACGACACAGGGAATCCTAGTGTGGGGTCCAGAGCCATATAAATATGTAATGTGAAGCTTTTTGTCAATAAATTTTTTTTTATTTTTTTATTATTTATTTATTTTTAGCAACTAGAGTAAAAAACGGATAATAAATTTCAACATCTTAAAGCCGAACTAAACAATATTTCCAAACGCTTTTCTTAGCTGAACACTAATCTGTTAGATCCTACAGCAGTCCTCGGTCTATTACAACATCCTCAGACAGAAGTATGATGTCATGGCAACTCATAAATAACAATAACTGTGTCCTGTGATCCCCACTATATCCTGTGCCGAGGGATCTAATTGGTGTAACCTTGTTGCTAATTGTTTCACAGATGCCTGCGACACTGTATTAATTGTGGTTTGTTATGTAAGTGGTGGTTGGTTCTGTGTATTGATTGTGTGAACTTTATTGTGTATTTTTTTTGTATTTGCAGATGTAAGACTTTAATGTTTAAGTTCTTCTAAAGTTAAGGACTCACGCGACGATTTTCTACCGCCACGGTTTCGTGCCCACAGCCTTTGTAAAATACAAATATGTATGTAAAAAATTAAAGCACATTTCACGATGCGTTTTATGCCGCAGCCGCGGTTGCGATTATCGGCCGCAAACTTGGCGGTTAATTATTTGTATTTTCTGCGAACGTTTTTTATGGGATAAGCCGGTAAACGTGCAGATGGATCACCTGATGGTAAGTAATCGGCGTCGCCCATGGGCACCTGAAACACCAGAGGCGTTACAAGTGCGTTACCGGTCTTTTAGAATTAGGAATTTGAGGATCGTTGGGGATTCAGGAATTGGGGAGATTAGGGAAGGGGAGGGTAATTGGGCCTCCGGTAACCTCACTCACACGACGAAACACAACGCAAGCGTTGCTTCACGTCGGTTTTCTGTGAGTCTGCAAAATACTGCGGTACTGCAGTCGCCGCGGTTGCGATTATCGGCCGCAAACTTGGCGGGTGATTATTTGTATTTTTTGCGGGCGTAAAACGTGATTAGAAATGTGCTTTAATATTTTACATACATATCTGTATCCTACAAACGCTGCGGGCATGCAACCGCGGTAGGCGCGGGTTAAAATCGCTTCGTGAGTCCTTAGCTTAACTGGTCGGCGGTTTTTTTTTATGGTTGGTGAGTTTGGATAACGTGATATTATTGTTTTTCATTTTATAAACTTGAGAGTTTCTCTCTGAGGAACAATTGTCTTACATTGAGACTTCTTTGGCAATGACTTACCTACTATTTAATAGGACTAAAGTAGCAGCTAGCAAAAAGAGCAATAGTAATAATTATTTCCTTTCTTATATTATTAGTCTTATTAACTGAAACTATAGAACAGTTTTACCTGCAACAAATGTGTAGGTACGTTTTTTATGCCACGACGATGGCAAAAAAACACACAACAAATAAACAGTTTTTTTTAAAAAACGTTGCCCCACATTAGGATTTTCTCCTGTGTCATGGGTGCGTTTACAAACATACAAGTTCACATACACAATGACACCCAGATCCGAAACAACAATTTGTGGATCACACAAAGTGTTGTTCCGTGCGGGAATCGAACCCGCGACATGTTGCACGGCAGCCAGTTGCCCAGCCACCGCACCAATCATGCAGTCACCAATAATGTCACCGAAACACTCATTAATATTAAAATGCTTTCAAAACTTATAACATACTAAATTTCACGACGATCAGTCCAGCAGTTACGGCGGTATTGGGTAACAAACACATATACATATAAACATTGTATTTATAGTTGTATTATAGTGTCTGGTCTGGCAATAATAACAGATGTTGGTGCGTAAGCTAAATTAATAGGTTTGTGCTCTTTACAACCGAACATTCCTATTAATCTTCTTCTTAATGACAACTGGCATGTTTTTTTAGCCTTTATTTACTATTCTTCTTTGAGAATCTATCAACAATTATTCTTAGTTCTGTTTAGCTTAGTTCATTTATTGTAGGCGTTTTGTTTTGATAAATAGGCTTTGAATAAACTAATTGAGGATTAATTACTTCCTTCTATTTATATTTTTTTCTTAAATGTTAAGCCATGAATACACTAAGGGATAAATGTCCTGCGTCACTTATCGCCAGCGACGTTGGGTGAGGTAGCGCGACGTTGCCGGACTTTGGTCGACATGCCTGGCAACATCGCCAACGCGTTGTCGCCATATAATTATGTTAGGTGAAATTAGCCGGCATCGTTTGACATGTCATGCGACATGTTTGTGCCCCCTAGTGTATCCTGGGCTTTATTTATTTATTTCAACATTTTTTGTACAAATGTTAATACAATGGCGGGGTTAATGCCGGATGACATTCTCTACGAGCCAACCACAGGGTGATGCAGAGAAGTGTTACAGGAGGTTATAAACAGTTTGTATCTATTGAAAAATGAGGGTGTTAAATAGTTTAGTTTTCTCTTTAGTTTTGCTTTTCTCCAGATGTGTGGATTGACGTGAATTCGTGTAGTAGGTGTTACGTAGAATTTGTTAGCGTACGTCATTATTATTTATCTCTATATATCTCGAGAGCAGATGAATCTGTGTAGAGGATACAAATAAATTTTGTATTGTTTAGAGCTTCATCAACATCAAAACCAAAGATAGATTTGCGTTTGTGATCGTAACGTTGTTTAGTATTACAGGGTTAAGGTTACGTGCGTAGATAGCGCAAACTGTAACAGTTTAAATTCTCAAACGACGCCGGAATACTGAAACGTTACTCAATTTTAAGTCGTGATTAAGTATAGTTCTGTCACCACCAATTCTTTGTAAAATGACAGAGACGGCACGATGTTTAAGCACGACTTAAAATTGAGTAACGTTTCAGTATTCCAGCCAGTATTCTACCTCTATAAAAGTACCCATTTTAATATACACTTTTAAAAAAGACAAATTGGATGCATTTAGTACATTGATAAGCTTGCTTCTGAAAACTTATACGCGCAATAATATTATGTTAATACCGTTTAGATGCGTCAAGCCATTAAACTGTCAAACACCGCGCGGTCACCGGTGACCGCAACCTATTGTTCTTTAATTGTGTCTATAATGACGGTACTCAACGAGTTAAGTAAGGCAGTTGTGCAATTACCTCCAATATGTTGATCTCTCGAGGGCTCAAACTACAGCGCTCAGGTTTCGGAGGAGGAGGTGGCTCAGGGAGCTCGCCAGCCACCCAGCGTAACTTGCGCTCCATCTCACTACAGCGCCGGACTTCACTGACATACCGACGCTGGAAGTCGTTCACGTGAGGGTTTAACTGTGAAAGAGAAACAAGAAAAATGTTAAACATTATTACAACATGATTTGTTAAGATTAAACTACTGCTTCGTTGTCGAATGCCGGGCAAGGGGTCTCGGGTTCGATTCCCGGGTCGGGCAAAGTATTACAAGGTTTTAAAAAACACTCTCAGTAGTAGCACGGAATATTGCCATCAATAGGCTCACTCCCTATTACATGGGACTCATAACATAAATAGTGAAAAGTGGGTGTTACATTGTACAGTGGCGTAATGTGCACCTCTGCCTACCCCTTCGGGGATAAAAGGTGTGATGATGTTATGTTGTTAAGATTAAAATGGTGAGACTTAATGAAGAGAGGATTTGACTTTTATGCTGTCAAGATCCCACCCTAATTTGCTATATCATTATCATCAGCCAAGAAACCTACATTGATGAAAAAAGGCCTTATTTCAAAGAGTGCATTTGCCATAATCCCTACACATAGCTAATGCATCTTCAATCAGGCAATGAAAAACAGTTTTCGTAGACCACATACATTTGTATCACTAGAAACGTCGCTCATGATATGAGTGGCAGACTTATTTATACATATAATCGAAATATTGGACCAGTTTTCTGACTGCCTCGTTGGCCGAGTGGTCGCAAGTGCGACTGCCGAGTAAGGGGTCTCGGGTTCGATTCTTAATTCTCAGTAGTAGCACGGAGTCTGGAATTGTGCCCGATGTATGACAGTAGACTCACCACCTATTACATGGGACTCATAACATACATAGTGAAAAGTTGGTGTTACATTGTACAGTAGCATAATGTGCGCCTCTGCCTACCCCTTCGGGATAAAAGGCGTGATGTTATGTTCACTCTTCCTATTAAATATGCATAATTTACTAGGCTGGAGCACTATTAACAGTTATTAGGGGCCACTTAGCGCGCCGCACTTCGCACTCTTCAATTAGGCTTAACGACTATCTAGGTAATAAGTAGCTGATTGGTCATTTGTGTTCACCATTACTGCTACAATTTTTATTTCTATTAAAACAAACTAAAACCACTGATTGTTATTTTTTAATCGTCAAAGAATTCATCCGCATCACTGTCATTGGGGAACATTATCTGATGTCTTTCTTTTGATGCAAAAAAGTAATCTCAATGTCGAGATATTTGAAGAGAAAATGTGCTTCTGCCTACTTATAAGTGCCTACACTAGATCATTTCTGCCAACAAGACATGCCCGTAGCACAGTCGTCTAACCACTGTACCAATTATGCAGTTAACACACGGCAAACTCTTTGCGTATTTTTTTTTATGGCATATGCCGGTATACGGGCAGACGGATTACCTGATGGTAAGCAGTCGGCGTCGCCCATGGACACTTGTAACACCAGAGGCGTTACAAGTGCATTACCGACCTTTTGGAGATTAGGAGTTTGAGGATCGTTCGGGATTCAGGAATTGGGGAGACTGGGGAAGGGGAGGATAATTGGGCCTCCGGTAACCTCACTCACACGACGAAACACAACGCAAGCGTTGCTTCAAATCGGTTTAGTAAATGACTTGAAACAGTATCTAAAGGCCTTGATTGAATGACTTTAGTATATTCCTTAAATGGTATAAAACCTTGACGGTTCAAGGTTGCCACAAACAGTAATATGAACGAATACAGTCGATCAATTACAATTTATCTGCATTTTATTGACGGCACGCCCTGCTCGAATTACGTGGCTTCCTAAATGTTATAGGTTACCCCCTGTTTTATTGCTTTCTTCTTTACGTCAATATTTATAGTATTTGTAATAAATATAACATGATAATAAATACTGTGTCACGCTTGTTATGTCTTAAAAAGTATGTTATGTGTATGCAGAGTTTTCACTTTTCGCTTAAATGTTTTCGGTATCGATGTAATAGGTCAAATACTTTTTATAATTAATGAATCTTTGCGAATGGAAGTTAAATCAAAGATTAAAATATTGTCCTTCATACATGATAGTTGCAATAAGTAAAAAGTTAAACAAAAACTGAAAGAAAATACTGATTTATTTGCTACTAATTTTTAAGCATGTTAATAGAAAAAAATAACATAACATAATATAACACCACGGCTCATACCTCCAAAGGGGTAGGTAAAAGGTACACATTGCGGCACGTAATGCCACTGTACAATGTAACATCCACTTTTCACTATTTTTGTTATGAGTCCATTCTAATAGGGGGTGAGCCTATTACTATATACCAGGTACAATACTAGACTCCGTGCAACTATACTGAGAACTTAAAAAAATCCCAGTAATACTTTGCCTTTACCTAGCAGGCGCACTTGCGACCACTCGGCCATAGAGGCAGTATATATTAATAGTTCACAAAATAAAAATAAAATCTCCTTATTCCCAGCATACTTTCGCAATAACTATTCTCCGTTTCTAATAATCTCCAACCAGTATATATCACACAACATTATACTGCTAACAAACGAAGCATTCAGATTGTATTGTACAAGTGCCTGAATAGGTCGAGCAGAGACCTCGTGAAATGGGAAGTGAGCGATTGTAGCGAATAAAGGCACAAATAATGTAATTTGCTATCACATTGAGATGTAATCTCGACCAGCTGTGTATTGGTGTCACATGATTTATATTGTTACTCTGTATGAATGCATCTTTTAAAAGAATTTTAAGGGATAAGCCAGCAGGCGGATCACCTGATGGTAAGCATTCGGGGTTGCCCGTGGACACCTGGAACACCAAAGGCGTTACAAGTGCGTTACCGGCCTTTGGGGAATTTAAGTGTCGGAGAGCCATGTTTCGGCACAGAAAACCGACGTGAAACAACGCATCCTTTGTGTTTCGTCGTATGAGTCATGTTACCGGAGCCCTACTTACCCTGTTTGCAAATTCATTATACAATTTTTGTCTGTCTGTATGTTTGTACTAATCTCTGGAATGGCTGGACCGATTTTGCAAGACTTTTATTGGCAAGTAGCAGATGTACTACGGAGTAACATGGGTTACTTTTATTTTGGAAAATTGAACCAACAATTTAGTTATGTTCTAAAATTCATATTCTACGCGAACAAAGTCGCGGGCGACAGCTACAGCTAGTAACATTCAAGTACAAATCACATCCAGAGCATGTAATATTCACACAAAATCAAGCCAGGACCTTTTAACGTTACATTTGTCTAGAATGATATAACAAAGGTAATGTTTAATATTAATATCTTACTAAAACTATAACAGAATGGTATTGTATCCGCACTATAGAGTCCAAACCTCGATTCTCAGCAGTCATAATAAAGACCATTGATTTGTAAACGCCAGATATATTATGAGTCTAATGTTATAAAGGGGAGAATCTACTGCGAATCTACGAAGACAATTACGGGTTCCATGCTTTTATTCAATAGATGTGGTGGCCCGGAGGCTTAAGACGATAAATATGATAAAATGTCAACTTTATTTTTAAAAATGTTTACTTCATTTTATCAAATGTTGCTGTGCCCTTACGGGGTCCATAAATGTATCTTAGCTTTAAGCGTATTGTAACACCTTATTCACTTTATGGTATGCAAATAAATGAATATGAATATGAATATGACGCCCGCTTCTCATACATGAGAGGAAAGGTTCGAAACCTACCAACGGCAAGTACCAATGTGACTTTTTCCGAGTTATATGTACTTTCTAAGATTATCCAGCCACCACTGACAAACAGTGAAGGAAAACATTGTGAGGAAACCTGGGCTTACAATTTCTAATTATAAGTTTGTAATCGCCAACCCGCATTGAGCAAGCGTGGTGATTAATGCTCAAACCTTCTCCGTATGAGAAGAGCCTTTGCTCAGCAGTGGGAATTTATAAAAATTTATAGGCTGTTGATGATGATGATAATTCAATAGTTATAGAAAACCTAAACAGAATTTTGACATAACATAACATCACGCCTTTTACCCCTGAACGTGACGTAACGAGGTCGTTACGTCACGCTACCACTCCTAAACTTAACTCCGTTTTATCTAAGTATTGTTGTCTTATACGACAAAAAAAATGTGTCTAATATTTTTGCATTATCTAACTGACGGACTAATTACATTTTTAATTTTCATACACTGTCTATTTAATCCTCTTACTCTGCAAATCGTATTTAAAATCACTGAACGACGAACTAGCCATTAATTTTGTTTTCTTATCTAGATTAATTTGATAAAGATCCTGAACGTTCGTTAAAATAATTAGTATGGTACAATACTTTCTCCAACTCTTGTAATATTTTTGATTTAAGATTTGTACCACATTTTTGATACCAAGATAAATTCACTTACATACTTTACTGTAGTATACTGTTATTTTTCTCAAAGGAAAACAGTGACTGAAATATGATTTATTTAAATTAAATTTAGAAATTAATATTTACTCTTTAAAAATAATAGAAAGACTGCCTCGTTGGCCGAGTGGTCATAAGTGCGACTGCCTTGCAAGGGGTCTCAGGTTCGATTCCCGGGTCGGGCAAAGTATTACTGGATTTTTAAATATTCTCAGTAGTAGCACGGAGTCTGGAATTGTGTCCGGTATATGGCAATAGGCTCACCCCCTATTACATGGGACTCATAACATAAATTGTGAAAAGTGGGTGATACATTGTACAGTGGTATAATGTGCACCTCTGCCTACCCCTTCGGGGATAAAAGGTGTGATGTTATGTATGTATGTAAAAAAAATAATAATAAAATTATTATCTAAAAATTCCTAATCGCTACCGTGAGGTAGGGTGCCCAAAAGACTGGCAGTATTGCCACGTTGAATGGCAATGCTTAACCTTTGCCCAAGGTAATAGCCAGCACTTTGATCACCTGAAGTGTCAACCATCCTCCTTACAATATCTTTGTAAAGAAGGCTGAAAATTTCCTATGTCGTAGGTGCATTTACAACACATAAAGACATTAGGTACACACAGCCACACATCAATCTATACAAAACCAGTTTATCCTGGTGTCGCGTCGCATCATCTTTCCGCACATTTAACG